TACATGCCGATGCGCACAAGGTTGCGAGTTGTGTACCTGGCGGGTCTGCTTCTCGAGCGTGAGCAGCTTATCGATGCCAGTTTGCGGGTTGCTCTAATCAACTATGTTAGCTTTGCTTCGCCTTCGGGAACCAGTGAACATACAGATGCTAGCTTCTCCGCCTCTGGAATAGCCGCATCGACTTCCTTGGTAAAGTCCTTGTCGGCCTTGAGCACTTCTCCGCTAGACATGGTGGCGGGGTCGTCTTGTGTATTTATCGGATATCGGGGTATTCACTTGCTCCCAAGTAAAGCAGAGACTGCAGATGGAAGTGTCGAATGGGAGAGAGGAAAGTGTGGGATGGGGCGGCGACGTTGTTTGGTGGTGTTGCGGCTCGTCAGTGATGTAGAGATCCACGCTCGGAGCTGGGGCGCTTTGGCCACCGCCTTGCGCTAGGTCCAAACATCCGCCGAAGAGCCTCAGCCTCCCGCATCCTGGAGCAAGCACATCTCTTGCATCACAGATATTCGAATTTGGACTTGGTCCTCTTCGGACTGCACATTCATTCATCATTATGCTGCATTCTAGATATCTTAGCTGGCGCTCACCGTATGACGTACTCCCCGATCGGAACGGCTCCTCTCAATTCAGCACTGGAGGCTAAGCACTTAACACATCTGACGAGTTGACACTCTTTGCTATCGTTATTAGAAGAATTAAATTTCGGTACAGAGAGGTTGCATAAGAACTTTAAGGGCCGATCAGCGTTTTGGGCTGATCCGCTGCTGCCTTTCAATTAGACTTCTCACGTAGCCTTCTTCACAGTCGCCAGCTTCGCCCTCACAGGCATATTGTGCTCTACGTTCTGTGTATCCGGAAAGCCTTCCAACTCCACACCCTTTCTGAATAGTATACAATGCGAGCTTCCACCAAAATGGAACATGCCTATCTCATCACCCTTCTTGACGTGTTGTCCCACTTTGACAGTGGTATCGCATGTTGAAACCTCAGTCATGCCGATACCCATGAAGCAGACCAGGCCAAGATCCTTGTTATCTGCCTCGAGGAAGATGATGGCGCGTGTGGCAGTTGCAGTGAGGTAACCTTGGCCGGTCTTCTCGCCTTCTTCATCGATGCCACCCTTGGCTGAGGGATCACCAAGACCTTCGAAAAGTGGTTCCGAGAAGTATGTGCCTTCAATGAGGTATGACTTTACGACTTTGCCGCTGATGGGCGCGTGCCAGCGGTGGTAGCTCATTGCAGATAGAAAGGCCTGGTAGATAGTACCGCCAATGAACTGCTCGTGCAGCGGATCCATGGCGAGCATGTCCATGAGTGAGTAAGGTTGACCCTTCAACCAGAAGCGGTCACGCTTGCAGACGTTGCGTCCAACCTTGTACGGTTTCGACTCGCATGCGTTGGCAATGACGCTATCGTCTTCGGGGCTGGCAACAGGTCGCTTATCTTCGTAAAAGTGGCGGGTGAAGAAGTCGTCCCATGACTTGTAACCATGATGTTCCTTGGATGGGTCGCATTGAAACATCTCTTCAAAAGAGTGAGACGTTTGGCCAATATTGGCTGTCAATGCGAGATCGTGAGTACCGTGTTCGCTGAGCCAGCCAATCTTATCGGTACCGAGCACATATGCTGATGCTGGCGAGTCGAGAAACTCTGCCCATGCGTTGAGTACTTTTTTGATCATTTTGTTGACTTCGGGATCTAGAAAGAAGGCAAATCCGGATGGTGTACCCTGTGTAATACAATTAGCATGTATTCGAATGAGGCTCAAGAAAATATACTCACCATTGGCCAGTCCAAGATGGCATTGAAAGGGGTTCCCACCATCCCGACAGAATACTCATGGTCACTCCATTCTGGTGCTGTTGTAAGAATATGGTTGAATAACTCCAACATGTGATGGTAATCCCTGACCTGCTTATGGCCCACGGGATCGTTCTTGTACGGCTTCTTCGTAGGTATCTCTTCAAACATGGAGTTTACCAGGATGTAAATACGTGTGTTGTTCTCGATTAGATCCTTGAACTCTCGCAACACAGGATGCAGCTCTTTGGGGTTGCCTTCTACCCGCTCAATGATGCCTGATAGCCATTTCTTGTGGACGCGGTGGTCTGCTGGGAGCCAGGAGCCGGTCCTGTGAACTTGATGTTCCTCAGGTACGTTCTTGGTGTTCTCTTGATGCGACATGGTTAAGGATGTATTTGTATAGGGATGAAATAGTGTGAGGAGGAGTATGATCTTAAGTAAGGTTTCCGAGGATGTAGAGCATACAGTATGTTTAAGCATCATCTATACGTCATTTATACACGCTAGTCTGACTACAAGCAATTCGTCGCATCTGCCCAGGCAGTAATCGTACATCATGTGTGCATGGTTTCAAACATTAGTAGTATCAATTTAAGGGCGTCGCTACAACGTCGACTATCAAAAAATGAGTGGGGTACATGGGCGCTCCGACTTAATTGTGCTACATTCTGGAACGTCTTCCTAATCTCTACGCTTTGAAAGTGCTATATGATGCCACACTCTCGGCCCTGTGTCTATGATCAATCTGCCACAGAAAATTGCCTCGTCAGATGGCATGATATCCATACAGCCAGAAGAAGTCTCAGTTCTTTATCAGCTTTGTGGTCTTGCAATCCCACCTTCTCTTTGTATTCTCTTTCTTAGATGACTTTTGGATGTATAGATGTATGCGATTTCTTTACTGGGCCCGTCGAAATGATACAGATTCGTATCAGCATATGTTGATCATGCATGTTTGCGTGGTAGTGGGTCTCTCTACTCCTGGCCCCCACCTTCCCTTCTTAGTCCCCGGGTTCCAACAATCAAGCTCCAGTGCCGCCCATAGAAAACACTCATCTATAATCTCGTAATGATCAACGAGACGGTCACTTCTACGCAAGATGAAGGGCGTTCTTGCACCGTCGATCGCGAATATCCTGTCGCCTCGCATGTGCGCCCTCTTCGAGATACTATAGCCTTCTGTCTTGAAACCAGTAAAACCAATGCTGAAGCGAGTTGTGAACAAAGGTCTTCCGTTTCTGGAATGTCGACAAATATTAATGAACTCCAATAAGTCTGGAGCTGCAAGACTGGAATCGCTTCGGATCAAAGCTTCGGGGTCATAGGCTGTGTACAAAGAATGATAAGGATCAGCCGTGGATACGTTGTCTTTGTCCTCTTTGAAAAAAACTATAAGCGGCCTGATATCCTTGCTCTTGATTTGGTCGAATGGCTTTTGGTCCCAGCCATGAAGCACTGGGACGCTTTGATACTGATATAGTTTCACACCATCGACATCGTAACTGGGGATCGACTCTACATATGTGGTGTCAAAACTGGAACTGCGGACTTCCACTACATCTATGCAATCGATATAGTGTGCTCGTACACAAAAACGTGGCAGCAAGCTCGGATGCATAGGCGACCCTATGATAGAGAAAGTGGCAGGTTGCTGGGAAGTATTTGGATATTCTGATGACGACACTACAAGTTGTGCGTGCCACGGAGTTGCACAATGCTTCTTGGAGTAAGGCGAGGTGAGATGATGGGGTTTGCTGGAAATCAATCCCGCCAGATACGCAGCAATATCTGTCCGATTTAAGGAGGATCGTCGTCCCATGTAATCCAGTGAAAGCGTATGGTGATGAACGCCTACATGTGATAAGACGGCCAGGTTTCCTTGGGTGATTATGATAGCTGCAATCGCATAACCCCAGATGGACTCAAGATCTAGAGAGTAATCAACAGGTATGAGTGATCTGGCTTGAGGTTCCATCAAGCTCAAGACCGCATAGACCTCATCTCGTGGATCAGTGGCGTTACAGTTCATGGCTGCTTGTAAACAGGCAGCAATCCCAGCTTCAATCGTCCGACACGTCGACCATTTGAGAGCGGATGGGATCTCAAGACCATTCTTCTTACAAAGATGCTCCATACGACCCATGACAGTAGAGTCGAACAGTAACATGTGGTTGTTCACATGTAAGCATACCTCTCGCGCTAGAGCTACTTCTTGAATGACCCAGACTCGGCTGAAGTACCTTCGTGATAACAGATGGTGTAGATCAAGACATCGTGACGTTTCAATGTCTGCGTAGCTTTCAGATCCTCTGTTGCGTAGCCAGGAGAATAATCGATTGAAATCCAGTGAGGACGCTGTTAACGAAGAATCTCGAATACAGATGCGAACGCTCCGAGCACTGGAATAAATTTGATCCATAAACCCAACCTGATGATTACGCTCATTGACATTTTTCTGATCGATACCTAACCAGGACTTCTCATCAGCAGATGCTGTGTTAGGTTTTGTACTGGGGGCTCTACGTACATATCGCATCAATCCAGAGTCTTCGTATACCGCCAGATCGCCTAAGCTGGAGGAGAACAGCATAGCAGTTTGCAGTGACCGGTATGACGCCGCCTGCTTCACACTTAATAGTCATGCAAAGAGATGCGTCTCCTTTCTCCGTAGCCCAGGTATATGATACAGCGTCGTAAACAGGGTCATCGTCCAGATTAACATGGATTATCTGGCACCGGAGTGCATCTACATCGCTGCCCGGAAGAACGAGGACGAGTCGTATTTCGCGGCCGAGTTTGTAGTTCAGCTTTGTGTATTGATAAGAAGCTGTCGCATCACTCGTGTAGATGTGGGCTGTTGGAGACGACGTTTCGAACACAGCCTCACCACAACTGAGGCAGCACCTTATCCCGTCAAACTTGCGTATGTCCGGATGCTTGCAAAACAATTCGGTCATCGTGATACGTAGCTAGCGTACAAGAGTTGCACGTTCGTTCGAAGCGTTGAACCATATCGGACGACCGTCAGTGCAGCGATCATGAGTCGTAGGAAAAGTCAGCAAGCGGAGTCTGGTCTTTTGGTGGTGGCACGGTGCATGCATGGCGCGGGCTGTGCTTGACCAATCAGCAGTTGCCGCAGTCGCCGCAGTCGCGCCAGGCTAAGACTGGGCTCTCTGATGGATACAGGACTATGCGCATCAATGTAGATAGATATTCTGTGTTCCTAAGGCATCCATATGGCGGAACGGATTGAAGTCCCATCGTTGATCAAGTCCCGTTCCTGATGTCATCCAACAATCCATATGTGATAACGCAAACAGGTAGCAGTCTCCAACGATCGTATAGCTTCGGCGACCGGCATCGCCCTGTCTTACAGAATTATCAGGTCTGAGTATCAGTGGAACTGTACAGCCATCGATTGCCCATACAGTATCGCCTACATCGAAGTCATGGTTCGTTATCGCAGGTAGATATTCAGCTCTAAAGATGTATTTGTTCCTCCCCAGTGTTTGGAGCTCAGTACAAAACTGTTGCAGGCCGGCCCAATGGAGATTTGCAAAACTCCTCATAGCTGAGATACTGTCTGGCTGCAGTTGCGAGTCATCGAGGCGCATGTAAGAAGGATTGAAGAGCCATTGGAATCGTGTAGGCCATAGCTGCATATCGAAATCCTTAGGCGTCGAGTGATCTTCGATTAAAGCCTTCAAGCTGACACCAAAATCCTGGGCGTCTTGCCATTGCGAACTCCCATGCTCTTGCTTAGTTGTGCTGTCGATAGTCGCGAGGCAGTGTCCACGAACTTCCACGGACGGCTTTGAAGAGAGGCTAGCTGGCCAGCTTGCAGGTATATCGACCACTGACCCCCAATCTATCTCACTGAGCCGACGATCTGATGACCTGCTCCCCATCAACTTCTCTAGAGATGTCCAGGGACCTATCTTTGATGTTTGGAATTGAGGACGCAGCGTAATTTCGCCATCGTATTCTGCCCAGTCCGGTACCCAAGTCGGTAAGCGCTTTTGCGCGGGTCTAGGACTGAGTGAGGCGTATGCTAAGATCTCAAAGTCTTCTCTGCAAATGATGATCGCGGCGGCCGCACGAGTCATTACCTCCTCCACGGTTTGCGAGTAATCGATCTCAATGAGGCTCTGCAGGCGCTCGCCAACCAAGCCCAAAAGACCATACACCTTGTCCCTAGGATCTGTAGACGAGCAGTTATGTGTCATTTGTAACATCGTAAGTAGATCCCTCGTCGGAGCACTGACTAGCGGATCCCAAGCTAATGGTCCAGGGACTTGCAGTCTGGATATTTTGGCTCTTCCTCGGATACGGCTCATCAGGTTGGCATCCATAGGACAGGATGCATTCCCCGTAACCATCGTTAACTTTTGCGCCAGTGCTACTTCTTGAATCACCCACACTCGTGAGGCCCATCTCTTTGCGAAAAGTTTCTTCAGCGCGGCCTGACGTCTCTCGGTGTCCATCCACAGAGTGCGCGAGCCGAATCCTAAATCTTCTTCTCCTAGGTAGACCAAAACCTGTGACGCGCCCGAGTAGATCCTTGCCATAATCGCAACCTGTTGGTTCCTCTCTTGCAGATTACTTTGATCGATAGCGAGTGCATCGACCCACAACATTCTTTCTTGTGAAATCAACCTCAGCCTGCGCAATGCAGACGCACAGCTTGATGTTACTGGCAGATCAGAGACTCGTTCCTCTCCAAAGTAAGCGCAGCTGATGCGCTGCGATAAGCTAGCGTCCCCATCTTCGGAGGCCCAGGTATACGAGAGAGCCTCGTATTCGATGTCATCGTCCAGGTTCGCGTGGAGAAGGTCGCATCGGATAGGTTCGTGGAATTCGCCAGGGTAGAGACACAAGAGGCGAATATGTTCACCCTCTGAAGGGTCCAGCGGCCGATATCGGAAGCTGTTGGAATTTTGGGATGGTGAGAAGCGCGTGAGTTTGGTGTCTGGCATCGCGACGCGCTCCTCGTAAAGCGCGTGCGGGTTTCTTGGTATGACTGAAGAGAAATTCAGTCAATGCGTATGCGGAGGCAGATCCTGCAGATCCGGTTTACAATAGGCCGAGTTATGGTACTTGAACGCATCGCGATAGGTTTTGCCGAGGCCGCGCAGAGCAACCTTGATACATATGATATATATCATGAAATCTAAAAATACCTCGGGTGTGTGTGTGGAGAGCAAACAGGGGATACTTTGAGCATGACGCGACGTTTTGCAGTGCTCTGAGAGGTTCCTGCAGCTGTTGTGGACGCGTGGCTGTGGCTGCTCGGCTGTGGCTGGGCTGGTGACGCAAACCTTATGCGCTCGACGTGGACCGAAGCGCAGCCCCTTATCTTGAACATCACATTTCAGCAACTCCTCGCCAGCCATATCTTCTCGAAGTACCAAGTACATTCGCAGTTGCTAATGTAGCTCTCTACAAATTCAATGAGCAGCATCGTGAACGCAGTAGTGGTGCTTACCGATACTGAGAATATTTTTGCTGGTTGTAAAGGGCAAGGTAGCTCAATAATCCTTTACATCACAAATCACCAGGGTATGCTGTCAAAGACTGTAGGATTGTTGGCATATAAATGTGTGTTTTGTAAGTATGTATAGTGAGGATGTTTGTGAGAATATATAGACAAGAAGGTGCCCAAAGTGGACGGAGACGCAGCTTACGCGGGGCCAATAGTCTGTGCCGGACCTGCGACAAACGCTTATACGACAGGCCATCCGCTGGAGAAGTCAATCTTGTTGATACCGAACTTCTTCTGACCATCGCCGTAACCAATGCGGGTGTCGACGTAGTGGTAGTATAGGACAGGTCCCTCCTTGGGGTCGTAGTAGACACCTTGACCACCAGGTCCGTAAACCCAGCCGTGAGACTCCAAGACAGTGGTACCACCACCCTGAAGGCAATCCTTACCACTCTTGTCCTTGAAGCCACCAGTGGCGCTGGTAGACCTGCAGACCTGGATCTTGTACTCCTGACCCTTGGCAGGCCTGTTGGTGTCGAAACCGCAGCACTTGCCAACGGAGAAGAAGAGGTAGTGGTAGTTGCCGTTCTTAGCAATGAACGGAGCTTCCTGAGCATGCTCGCCGTCAGGCTTGAAGGCAATGTTTGTGACTGTGGAAGAGCTGGTCTTCACAGGTGGGTTGGCCATGTTCTGGCTGAAGAGGTCGTTCCAGAACGAACCGAAGGACATGACGAACTTCGATCCGTCCCAGTAAAGTGCACCATCAATGGCGTTGTAGTTCTTTCCAGCGCTCGATTGGATGCCAGTTGCGCCGAGATCGGTCCAAGTGCTGAGGTCCTTGCTGGTCGCAACACCGATGGCAGAGTTTTGGACACCGAAAGAGGAGACAGTGTAGTAAAGGTAGTATGTGTCACCGACTAGGGTAACGTCAGGAGCCTGAGTTTGGTTAGCTTATCTTCAACTATATAGATATATGCTAGTGCTTACCCAGAGATCGTCCTTGCCAGCCAAGTTGATCTTGGAACCCTTCGGAATCGCGGCACCCTTGTAGGTCCAGGGGCCAGTGATCGAAGGTGCGCTGTGGATAGCAATCTTTCCACCAGTCGAGAAACGGAAGTAGGTGCCATCAGAGCGGCGGATCAAGGCTGGATCGTGAGCATTGTTGCAGATACCAGAGCAAGCCATGGGGTCGGCATAGCCGTAGACTGCGGTAACAGCCGAAAGCAACGAAGCAACAATAGAGTAACGCATCCTGGCGACTGGTAGCGAACGGAAGAGGAAAGGCTTGGAAAGCTTGAATGTGAGTGATGATGGAAACGAAACAACTGCGGCTGGTAAACAACCTATATATTACCGGTGGTATATATCAACCCTGAGAAACATCCCAATATGGACCATCCCGAAACCATTGGCATGGACCAGACGTGAACAGACGAAATTGACAGTGCTGGCATAGTCCACTTTCTCAGTGGTGGAAACGTGAATCTCGGTATGTGCATTAAGAAGCCGGTACGGAGAATTTGCTCAGAGCATGCCTAGCAGGCAATCTAGCGTGAGGGGTGCAGATGGTGTTTCACGTCTCAAGGGATGACCGCGATATGTGACTGGTGGATCGTACGGGTGAGGACAGCACGTGTAGGTGCAGGGTGGTGTTAGGGGGCATGCAAGTGCGTCGGAAAGCGGCCGGCTTGGAAATTGTGTAGTTGGTAACAAGCGCCACATCCGTACCTGCCCAGTAATGCTTAAACGCCTGAGGCGATTCCAAGGCTACGGCACGGATACTGAAACGTGCCTAGCCAAAGGCCTGATTCTGTGGCGCGGCATAATAACAAGCAGTCTCGGCAGTGGAATTCTCGCTCTCGCAACTACAAAGAGAAATGGCGAAGGCGCACAAGGCGAATAGAGCATTTCATGGAGGTTGTGGTAGTTGCGAGATTGATGGACTAATGATCCTTGTGGTGACATTGATGGTGGTGAATTCGTTCCGAGGTTCCTCTTTTAGCGTTGAATCAGCCACGCTACCTCTTTTCTGAACTGTCTCCTGCTTCTTGCGGCTACCACGCTCCGCAAAGATCACCGTCGCGCATGTATCCATCGCAAAGCCATAGTTGATCGTCGAACTCTATTGCGATGATGAACGATGGTATTCATTGAATTCCTATCGCCTTCCGGACGGACTGAGATCTGCCGAAGCAAGACCTACTGCTTACCACCGGCACATCACAAGCGAGCAACCCAGAAATGTCAGACGGTGAAACTAGTGTCATCTATTTCACCTTAATCTAAACAAGCCTTTGCTTCTATGATATCCGATTACCGGTTACTTTGACTCCAACACGAGCATCTGTCTCACACATTTCAATACTATGTTTGTGGCGTCGGCAGCAATTCGGCAGAATGCGAACACGTTACCCACGAGTAAGGGAACACCATGGGCACTGCACGTAGCAACTTTTCCCGCAGACGTTTCCGTTGGCAGCGAATCTTACGCGAGACCCCACTTCTTCTAGGCCCCAGGCTTCTAGATGCCTTCCCCTGGGCTGTCGTGGGCCTTATAACCGGTATTCTGTTTCAGGCTCAACCAAAAGCTAGCACCGCTCGATGCACACTGTGCGCATAGATTCATGATGCACTTGAGTAAAAGAAGGAGTACATTGATTAGATTCTCGCACGATGTGGTGTAGTAAAGCGAGTGGTCTACCCCATACCGACATTCCGACTCTTGCAAGTGATTGAAGCAAGACCGTCCTCGTCTGGAAACCAGCTTGTCGTCTCAGCATTTCCCTCCACTCAAACCATCACAAATGCTGTCCCAAGGACATTCCTGGTTCGAGTCATTTCACGCCGGTCACAACCGGCTATCTGTTCCTTATCATGCCATCATCCAGGTTTACAGCACAAAGGCGTCGAAGTCAGACACTGGCGCACCGCTCTGACTTACGCCACCCCCAGGAATGTAAATTTTGCCGTTCACACTCGCAGCGTAGGTTCCGTGTCTAGGTAGCCTCATTCTCCCAGCTTTCGCCCATCGGTCCCGGACAGTGTCGTATGCCTCAACCTGATCAAACACCCCAGTTTTCGACTGTGCATTGCCCTCGCCGCCAAAGACGTATATCTTCTTCCCAATTATACCAGCCGCAACACCGCCCCTAGGAGTAGGCATGCGCGCCGCGCTAGTCTTCCAACCGGCTTCGAGATCACAGAGATCAAGAACAAAGACCGTGTCGCGAACGTTCTCCTGTCCGTCATCTCGTCCACCTAGAACATACATCTTTGCGCCTACCACTGCCGCACCTGCATGATCTCGAGCTTCTGGTATATACTTTGCAGCCTCTGGGACGGAGAGCCACGTATTCGTGTTAGTATCGAAGATAGAAACAACTGAGACGCTATTCTGAATGCCGTTCTCGAACAGCTCAAGTTCCGTCATGCCGCCGGCGAGATAGATCTTTGACTGGTAGGTACCGACGGCTGCACTACCTCTTTCTTCCCCAGCGGGTACACCTGGTATCGTCTTCCATAAATCAGTGACAGGATCGTACACCCAAGAGTCGGGCACTCCGCCCCACACCCTCTTTCCTTCGCTCGCTTCGCCTGTCTCCGCCAGACCGCCCAAGACATATATCTTTCCACCCACGACAGCGGCATTGGCGTGATTTAGCCCTTGTGGCATACCGGCTTTGGTGATCCATAAATCGTCCGTGATCGAGTAGAACTGCATCAACGAAGTAGTGTCTACAGGTGGAAACGAAGTATTGGACGGGACAACGCCGCCGAGGATTGCGATAGTGGACGGCGGAACGAATACAGTGGTCTGCTCCTGGCGAGGAGATAGTGGGATAGGGGCAAGTGGTGTCCATGAAGGCGACAGACGAGAAGATGGTGCAGATGATGCGACAGCGACTAGCAGACCTGCAGCCAACAAGGTAGGGTTGAATATGGAAAAACGCATTGTAATTGTGAAGATTCTCAGGTGGTATGCTAGAGAAGCTGTTGCACTTTATGATTCCTGGATAGCAACAAACACACAGTATATATATCTGTGTATACTGCTACATCACCTTTACATACAGTGGAAGACCTACATGACTATGTTGGAAACTGGAGACATTCTTGGTGCTAAAGTCTAGAGCCGACCTCAGGTCCGCAAATCCGAGTGACAAAATCGGACATGCGGTGGAACATCAACGCAGACTGTCTGCGCATTACGCCCTGCACTACCAAGCCTTGGAAAACAACCATCTACAGCACAACTCGTACCCCGATCTCTCGTCGCGAGTCGATTACGCCTCAGCGCTTTGCCGAAATATCTCTTCCGAGTGTTCCTTCCAGATTGTGAAATGCGTCTTGCCTTCCAGGATCTTGAGTTTTCCGCCCCCCAACCGCTCATCAATCCACTGCGCACCTTTCAATGGCGCCTGCGCATCTTGATCGCCATGTATTAACCACACTCGCTCGTTGTCCACGTCCTTCAAGTCAAAGCCCCAATCTTCT